AGTTTAAGAGCTCTAAACTGAACTGACTGATAAGACGAGAGCTCTAAACTGACACTGAACTGACTGCCAAGCAATCAGTCAGTCAGTCAGTCTCATCAGTTTGGATTGATTGTTAGCAACTCTGCTCGCGCCCAGCGGAGTTGGTGTGGTTGCCATAGCGTTAGGCGATGTATATTGTTGGGGATGGAGGAGGTGGATGGAGGAGGTGGATAGAAGGAGGATTGGTCAAGGAATGGAGTATAAGTGATAGAGCGAGCTCGCCAAGCCGCCTGACATGCACGCGGTGAGAGCACGGGCGCCAGCAGGTAAGTTCACCATCAAGTGAAAGAGAACGGGAGACGGGTTTAAGCTCAGTATTGGCAGGTAAAGGTCTTCAATAAATGTCTCATGTTCATAGACCTAAGCCGCCTAGGGAGCTTCAAATATGAGGAAAGCTTTTGAAGCGGTTGATCCAGCCCGAATGCGTATGGGGGCGTTCCAACTTCACCGTGCCTGTCTAGCTAATAATAGTGCATCGGAGGTATGCTAAGATCCTCGTTCGCACACAGCTCGAGCTCAAGTCTCAGGTTAACTATTTCATATTCGGTAAGCTCTGATTGTTCCCAGTAGTCGTCATCGCTGTCATCTTCGGTTCCATCTTCCGAGCTGGTTGAGCCATCACTTGATGGGTAGTCGCTGTCTCCATCGTAAAACTCAATCAGTGTATTGTCATAATACTGGTCGAGCTCACAACAAAGCTAAGCAACAAAGTCAGCGACGTGGATTGTGATACTGCGAGGTCATGACGTACCTTATGAAATAAACATTCCCATTGAGAGTGCGAGAACTCTGCCAATCCAGGTAGCATCATTTGCACTTCAAAACCACTGCACAGGTCGTCGCCAAGCTTGCCATGGCCAATGATGTTCTCCATGTTGTGCTTTTGGGGTAAGGTCCACACCTCAACTACCAACTCAATTTTCCAACCTGTCAAGCTTGGGAGCAGTTGTGAAAGCTTTTTGAATACCTCGCCTCGTGCAATCGGGTCCGGTTCGCCAAGATATTTGAATCTGGAAGGTTCGTATGCCTTTGGAGGTGTGCTAATTTTGAAGTAAGTGTCAAGATTTAGTCGTAGGCGTGCTGGTCGTTTCAGCAGAGCAAGATCTCGCAGAGTTCGGCCAAGAGTCTCATTAAACCTTGCTTCATCCATCAGGACATCACGAGGGACATCGATCTCTAACTGGCAAACTAGATTAAGGGCTGGAAGACCAAGTTTCAGGAATCTATAAAGCGCTGCATCTCTTTCGAAGAACGCGCGGATGAGATGCACATCTGTTGCGAAGTCGAACGTGCAGGTCTTGTACCAGCACTCTAGCAGTTCCCGTCGCGTCTGGTGGGTGATATAACCGTCACGTCGAAGAATTCCCCAGAGATCTTGCATAGAACCAGTCAAAACCACGTATGGTCGGGCGGGATTGTTTGACTCCAGTATAGGAACAGTGTGGTTATTGTTATGCCACTCGGCGGGGCCGATGACATGTTTGTAGATCATGTCGCGAAGTTCGCGTGGCAGATACTGCTGCATTGCTTCGCATATAGGATAGGATCGACTTCGTTCCATTGCCATCAATTCTCGTATAAGTTCTTCAGCCTCCGGGTCGGTCCGCTGCCGTTGCTTCAAATTGGTGTCAAGCTTTGTCTCTAGCAACCTCCTCTTGGTTTCAATTTCCTCGAGTTCTTTACGTATGCGATACTCATTCTCTATTAGCACTTGTATTCGTATCAGCTTCTTCCTTTGGTACCGATCCAGGCGCTGCTGCAAACTGTGTTCTCGTCAGATATTTCCTATGCCTGGAAGCTGTTCAACCTACGCGTGGGCAGCCATTGCGTCCGACGCAGTTCTCAAGATGGAGTCCATGTTTGGTCGCTACGCGACGCCGTGTTTTACAATCAAGCTAGGAAATCGAAAGGCCAGAAGCTCTACGCAAACAACACGATCAAAATTTGGTTGCACAGCGCGAAGAATCGCGTTGATCAGGGGAGCGCGCTAGCGGATCCCCGCATTACGCGTAGCTCGCCGCCACAAAACTCTTAGAACGCTAATGACTTGTGGCTTTCGTGGCCACGCTGTCAAGCTAGCAGCTGATTGGCTATCTCACGTACGCAGCTAAGCGTCGCGTCAAAACACCGTATCTCTGTGTACTTATTGTACAATTGTATGCTACTCTCCTCCCCTGTCTCATTTTGAGAGATTGGAAAGAGTGTCGTGGCGTGGTGTAGCTTTGCCGCGTCTCGTCCGCAGAGTTCTTCCAGACAGATCATAGATGGTACTAGCACGCCGCTGGATCAGTGACGTGTTCCAGCGACAGCCCGTCTCTACTGCGCTTGTTAGACTGGCCGGACGCGAATTGCGAGGTTCCAGTGCGATGTTTCATTGCGCGTTTTCTTTCCGACCTCGGCACGCCGCAATGATGACCCGTGGACCCTTGGACCCTGGGAACGCCCCGCAGACGCCTAGTTACCCGGCATGCCGCCTCAAACGCACCTACCGTAGCTGGAAGGTGATTTTACGAGAAAGAAGTGTCGCCCTAGGGGCTGGACCCTAAGGTTTGTGGCGTAACGGTCATTGGTCTTCCGTCTTAGTGTACGGGACGCCCCACAGGTACCCGCCAGACCGCTCAGACCTCACCAACGCAGTTTGAAGGTGGTCATGGCAGGGCAAACGAGCACTTTCGGCGTAATTCCTAATTGGAACTCTATTTACCACCGGTGTAATCGACGCACTTTAACATGGGTAGTCTAGACCGTGACATCTCCAGCTCGCAGTGCGCTAGAGCAACGCAGGCATCTGCCAGCTGAGTGCGTTAATAGAGTCTCTTGGATTTCACGAAACACTGTAGCCGCTCGATACCCTAACAGCAGCGCATGTCGATATTCATCACACTATCTTGCTATGATCAAGCATGAGATGCGTCCTCGAGACCTCAGTGATCCCACTGCTATGAGCAAAGCTCCAGTCGGGCTTACCAGCAAAGTTTGGTAGAGTTTAAATTCAGCCTGAATACTATTAAGAGTGCTTATGTCTTTCAGGCGCCCTACCTATGGTGGACCCTGTGGACCCAAAGTCATGATACTTGGCAGATCATCGTTACATAGGACAACAGGGCAGTTGTCAAACTTACGACCAACAAGGCGTAGAGCAGCACTGCTAGGCAGATTAGCAGATGCTGGAATACGAAGTCAGGTTGGGGAGAAATGTATATAACTCTTGAGCAGCCCTCTCCTTTCTTTCTCACCACCACACTCACATCAATCACTTCCTTGGCCAGACTCAGCTTGTCCACAAGAAACCGCAAAAATGAAGTTCACCGACATCCTGTTCTTTGCCATCCAAGCTGCTGGAGTTCTTGCAGCTCCCTACGCCGGCAACGAAGGCGAGGCTCCCGACTTTGAGAACTCCTCTGTTCCACCCGCAAACACACCTTGGTTGTCCTTCACCGACAAAGCTGTACGTTGATTCGAGTTGCTCTTTTTTGCCCTCCCAGCTCAAGATCCTGGAAATACATCCCAGTTCATGTCATGCATGTCCAGGTGTATTTCAACATGCTTTCAGTTGGAGATGATCGCAGTCATCTGCTTCTAAGACATACCTGAATATGCAGATACTGACTCCTCCATCTTTTAGAGTCCCCTCGACAAACGCGGTTGCTGGTCAGGCTCACCATACGGATGCGATCTTGGTAAAAAGCGCTGCTGGAAGGTCTGTGGTGATGGTGGACAGTGGTGCTGGACTGCGGGTGGTGACGGAAGCGGAGACTGGAACGGATGCTCAGACTGGGGTCAATGCAACCAGGACCAGTCTTGTGGAAAGAACTGCCACAACCCCAAGGAGTGCGGATGCAGTTGCTAGAATAACCAAGCAAGGGAAATCATGGGTTCGACGCATGATTGGTGCTTAGCTCAATCATAATAAATCACGAACGCATCCGTAGCAACGCCATCAGTTTTCTCGAAGTTGTACATTAATCACTTCTCCTAGACTGCCTCATTGCTTGACATGTGATTACTATCCCCTTCACCATGAGATGCAACGACTTAGGATGGAGCCTACATCCACCATACACTAGAGAAGTCGTAAACCATCGGCTACCGCTTTGAATGTGGTAGAGAAATTGGCAGTGAGTTGAACAGCAAGGAATCTTCAAAGTTCTAGGTGACTCAGATTATCACAATGGTGCCTACATTGTTGGCGCGATGAGATCTTGAACCGTCACAAATCCCGTCTCAAGGTAAACCTAGCTTGATTTCCTCTTTCCTACTCTTTAGCATGACTTTTTGCCTCGGATCCATGTAGCGGTCTGTTCCAGACAACCCGTTTGGTAATCTTCCTTGATCAGTAAACTCCCAGTCATACTTGAGAAGCATGTGTATGACGATGACTTTGATCTCGTTACTAGCAAAGAACCGTCCCGGGCATGAATGTTTCCCGTAGCCAAATCCGAGGTGTTCGGGCGAACCAGTGACGAAATTCCACTTGCTTCGATCAGTATCGCGTAACTTGAGGAAACGGTCCGGTTGGAATTTATCGACATTGGACCACAGAGTTGGGTCTCGAAGGCGGTGCTCAACAGCCAGTCTGTAACCTTTAGGGATGATTGTGCCGTCAGAAAGAGTGACATCGGTCAAAGCGATGCGTTGCATTGAGACTATCAGCGTGAGAAGAAGAATCATTAATGAAGTCGGACATGTCACTTACGGTCCGTGATAGGATTCAACCGCTGTGATTCCTTCATCGCGCTGTCAAGCAACGTCATTGAAGCTAACGACGTCTTTTTCCAGCCAGAAGTCGAGAATGTCGAAACAATCTCCTCCCTAAGCTGCGAAATCGCCTCTTTGTTCTCAATCAGATCAGCCATGAACATTGCAATTGTCTCCGTAGTCGTGTGTACTGCCGCCACTACAAGCAAGAGTTGAAACTCTGCGAAGTCAATCTTGACACCCTTCGCCTTTGCCTTATCGTCCAGCCAACTTAACATGTCCGCAGTCTTCTCGGTAATTTGCCCGTTGGCCTTTCTCTGCAGACGATCCTGCACGAGTGGAGTGATGATTTTCCGCGCTTTGTCAACTTGCTCTCTACAGACGCCTAGTTCGGGAAACCACCACCGCGCCAGAGGTCGCAATAGTGGATGCAAGCCACGGAGCTTCCGCGTCACCATGCTTGCCTGGGTGACGTACGATAAGGCAATATTCAACCATTCTTCGTTGTTGGAGAGTTCAGGACCGAGGAAGACACGACTAGAGATGCGGGCAACAAGGCGGTGAATAAGGGGCTTCAGGTCCATAATCTTCCAATCGGCAATGTCTCCTAGCATCTCCAGGAGGGCGGCTTCAACTTCGGTATTCATGACTTCAGTGACAGAATCTATTGATGTGAGCAGCCAAGTAAACAGTCTGAAACTCGTATTCCATACCTAAAGAACGAGTAAGGTCGAGCCGGGCAACTTCTTGCATGACGCCATGATAGTCAATCGCCAGAATCGGGTTCAACCCTGGTTCGCGAGCCAAAGCGTTCTAGACAAGGACGAAGTCAGTAACGTTCATAAGCTGAATCGCGTGACGTACTTTCACAATAGATCGACTAAAGCTGAGTTCTTTCATGTTGCGGATCTCACCTGCAAATGAATTCGGCAAGAAAATTGTCGGCCCAATGGGGGAAGTAACTACGATAGCGCTCTTTATCTTCAGGGTGTATTAGCACAGGATGTTTACCCACATCTCAATCTTCGTTACCTTTTTTAGGCCTCCATACAATAGCTCCTGAGCATTCGTCATCCATTGTTCCCTCGCCTTTGAGTGGTTTGACAATGCATCTTCGGTAAGCGCATACCAAGTCGCGTTCGTACGAAGCCCTCTGCCAAAGGAAGATAAGTAGAAAAAGCACAAAAAGCAACTCAACACCGCGGTTGCAATCGAAGGAAGAGAAAATGGGTAAGCAAGATGTGAAACAGGTTCGGTGACGGTGTCATTGGAGTCCATGATCTGCAACAACTAAGACACACTCCAATGTCTCAAAAGGTGAGCTATCATCGTGGATGCCTTCGAGACTCCATACGACTTTTATCAGATTGGTGCATTCGGAAGGTTTTGGGTAATGATAGCGTTTAACATGAGCGTGAACGCAAACGCAAAGCCGGCTCATTGTGTGAATGACTGTTAATTCACCGTTCTTTTTCGTCGATGGAAGAGTCGGATCGACCATCGAGAAATACACCGACATGCGTCGTCCGTGTGTTGGAGCGGGGATAAGTGGATCTTCGGTCAGAAGCTTGGTGTTCCTGCTCGGCTGAACAATCATCCCAGAATCACTGGCTCTTTTGGCTCGTTTAAAGATGATCGGAGTGGCATTGGGCATTTTTGTTGTTCCGCTAGTGGCCTGAATCCTTTTGCTATGCCATCACAATCTGATGTGTCGCCTGCATGGTTTTCATTCAAAACATGTCTTGTGTGCAATCTAGGAAACTTTGGGTATGACCGCAGTGTCTCCGAGACTGGCGAACAAGCATCTGCGCTGATCTATAGCAAACCTCCTTGCACTTCCCTTCCCCAACACATAGCGTCTGTTTCGTTTACTTTACCTATTTTCCATCTCCCCTATCGTCGCAGACACTTCCGAAGCTTCTCGAAAATCATGCTTTTTAAGTTTTCGGTTCAATTACGATACCATATGTAGCAACACTAGTGCGTCATCGCAGACTGGCGTTGCACTTATCATGTGTCATGAAGTCTGATAAACAGGAAGGATTGAACTGTCACAAACACTTCTCGCTACATAGCGACGTGAAAGATTAGCTATAATTCACGGCTTTCGTCATGTCTAGTTCGTCCCTACCCTGTGCGACCTCAATGATGCTCACATTCTACTCTCATAATGTCATACTATGACTCTTTGTTCACTACAGTGGTAGCCTCTACATAACATCCCTGCTGTAATCCAAGTAGTTCTTGTACGAATACCGAAATCTCCACGATACAACAACACGCCAAATTCTACCGAAGCCTTTCAACAGCAGCATACATGTCTCGTCAACACAGTAGTACTGGTTTATCCAGAATCGCTCCTCAACCGACCGGCGTTCCTGCAGACTACGTTGACTCGAATCACCCTCACTTCCCTCACGACGCAGAAGCCCAACTTCCACCTCGTTCTTTCGCCAGAGCCAGCGCGTGTTTCAGTAATAAATGGTTTCTAATCGCTTTCAGCTTGCTCCTTGGCCTAGGACTGATCATAATGTCCCTGCTAACCGGCATTCGAATCGGCATGTCCAAGCTTCCCAGTGAGCATACCACCGTCTACCAGACGACTATCACGACATCCACATCAACAGGAGGTACTGTCACAGTAACACCAGAACCAACGTACACCACAACAACTGTTCAAAGGACTCCGGGTCGAATGACACCCACAGCTACGGTGTCTTTCATCAAAGCACCTACTGGTCTCACGACAGTGGCTTCTCCGCAGGAGACCTGTACAAGCAAAGGTAGTTGGCCAACGATAGAAGAATGCAGGGGAAATTGTGATATGCCAGGAAAACGGTCGGTGTGTGGAAAGTGGACCGGAGGATACACGTGTGTGATATGTCCGCTTACGGATGCTAATGCTTTCTTCTCGTCTCTGTGATGGGACAGGTGGTAGTCAGAAGACCAGGTTCAGACCTTAGGTATATGTTTGTCAGCGAAGTCATTCTTAATGGAAAGTTACCAGATTTGTTCAACGCCTGGACAAATAAGTCGTATTCTACACGCATGATGATGCATATAGCTGTGTGGATCAGGAAAACCTGTGTGTGCTTACCAACGGTGACTGCGAAGTTCTTGAGACCACTGTGACTTGGACCGCGTTCACTTTCTATCGTCTTAGAGCGACACTGTGAACCAACAGCATTAGGTGTGGACGCATCATGTACCCTACAGCGAGCTAGCAATGACCCTTCCAGCCTTTCTACCCTCATCTAAACTAGCAGAGCGGCTCTCAAGTCCATCCAATCTCAACTGCTGCTCAACCGTATCACATCATCAGTGCCATGGCTCCTAATACAAACCCGTTCTGGCAACGTGCCGAAAGCATGAGCAACGGTCTAGACTTGCCCGATAGTAGGCAAACTACAGCTTCTGTTATCGGAGAGGGCGCTGGTGCCGAGGAAGCACTTCCGGCGGCAGTTCCAAACCCAGCAACTTTGTCGACAGATCCTGAATCCCGTAAAAGCTTCCCTGAGCACCTTCCATACCGCATGCCACAGCAGCCGCTATGGAATCGTCTTTGGCGCAACAACAAACTTCGAATTGCTATAGGAACATTCTGTTTTCTGGTTGTTGTAGGTGGCACAATAGCAGGCGCCTTCTTCTTGGCCAACGTTATGAGAACGGGCATGTTTCATCCAAGCTCTGATGCTGGTTTGAGAGACGCTCCAAAAACTTCGTACGTTATTTTGACTACTGTGGTTCCTGGATTGGGCGAGATGGGGCCAGTGACGGAGACGGTCAGTAGTATGCAAGAGACTCACTTATCGACGCAGTGGATTGTCTCGGTACCCAAGACGACTACCACGCCAGTCATGCCTACTAAAGCTATTAGTGGACCTTAGCGAGGTGCTCTACAGCGTTTTAGAAATTTGCGGAGTATCCATAAATCTATAGTGCTTGGTCGAGTAACGACAAGGCGAGGTACAGATAAGTTCTAGAGGCGTCAAAAGTATAGATGTATGATTGCGATACAACAAAACAGGTAGGCAATGCTTACACTGAGATCAATATTACGGCTTCTAACACATCCGAGTGCCGGATGCGCGCATGATGCGATTCTTGCCAAGCAGACTATTACGTCGGCGCCGGTGCTATTACAATTGAACTAGACCAATCTTGAGAAGAAGCTCCTCGTACGAACTTCATAATTCTGGCATGATTACCAATACAATGACAAGTTGGAAGGCATATCCGTAAGTTTGACAAGGATTGTGTGTATTTTGTCCTCGGCACAGGGGCATGTGAATTCTGAAGCGATGACTTAGTGTAAGTGGTGACAGCCCGGATGCCGGAGATAATCCAGTTGTCCTATAAGCTACACTAGAAGTAACCAGGTCTTACACGCGTCATGTTCAGCTGCCGTACTACCAGTAATCAGCTTCGTACAGAGGTAATTTCAAATATAGGTTGAAACTTTTCCTTTCCTTTGATGGAGATGTCATTACATTCACTTCTCCGTCAGCACTTGAATCACTTCAACAACTATAAAATCATGGCAACCATCCAGGGCACTCTTTCTGCACAGAACATTAAAGCTATCCCGGCTTTTGCAAGTCCTTACACACGGGGAAACACCGCACCACGTTTCAGTGATGTTGACATCCTTAAGATAAGGTACCGCACTGACGGCGCATCTGCCCGAGAGTTGATCCCAGAGCAGCTGTCTTTTGAAAGACAACCCATCGTCACAACGTGGGTGCTCGATTATGGCTTCACAAACATCGGACCATACAAAGAACTTATCCATCAGATCGAAGTAACGTTTCAAGGAAAGAAATACGACTACGCAATCCTGCTGGTTTTGGACAATGAAGATGCTGTTTATGGGGGGCGTGAGAGTTTCGGCTACCCCAAAGTTATGGGCGAGATAGACTTCGATGTTGGCAAGAGAACTGGGGTAACAAGTTTCGTCACTGCTACTGTCTCGCGACCGCCTGGTAATCCGATCATCGAATATCTTTTTAAACCCTCGAACTTCATTGGGACGGGCCCAATACCGCCACCAGAGAACGAGGGTCTCAACCTTCGAGTAATTCCCAACATCATTCCTGGAGCGAAGCCCAACATTCGCCAGTTCATTCCAATCACGTTCAAGGCAGACGTTGGAGAGAGATGGGAGGGTATCGGCAGCCTGAAGTTCCCATCAACAAGCGAGTTTGATCCTTTGCACAAAACGCCTGTTGTCGAGTATCTGGGCTCCGAGCTGCTACGGAACTGCCAGGCTTCGTTTGGAGAATTTCCTACTGAGGCTTTCGATTTCTGATCTTCGATTGACTTATATTCGCTGGAATGCTTATATCCTCGATACCTGTTCACTGTCTTGTGTATTACTGGGCATACGAGATGATACTGAGGAGTTTAACTCTGAACGGCTCCTTAAAGTTCTACTATAGCTCCAAATTAGCGAAAATTAGTTTCGCTTGCAGCTATCTTAAGCTTCTAATCGCAATACCGACCGTGGTAGCATCCTGTGCCGAGGTGCTAGTGAAGACGTGACATGTCATTCTGATATGTAATGAGATTAGCAAATGTTGGTGACGACGCACACAAAGCAAACGTGAAAGCATTAAGTGGAGTCAAGGAGATCCTCCGGTGGCGACTCGTGAATACATTGATGATGGTTGTTATCATAGTGAGTTGTGAGGAAACTTCGCGCTTGTATTGCCCGGATACAAACAGCACGGATGCGCTCACAGAAAGATGCGGTACCAGCTACCACATGACCAGTAAGACACCCCGTTGTTTCGAAGAACCAAAATTTACCAATCATATTTCATCAACTGTTTGTCACCTAATAAGCTGCAGCTCTTGGTACCAAGTGACAGAAACTTTCGGTTGACAGGGCCTACATTGACATCAGTTAGGGATGAACTGCATCTGGGGCGAGTACTCGCCTCCAAATCAACCCTGTTTCACCTGCAGGAACGTGTGTAGCGTCTTCGTCTAGCGAGTTGGGCTCGCACAAAGAATACCCAAAACTCCGTTGGCCAACAAGCAAGGTGGTGCTAAGAATGTACCCAGCTCTTTTCAAGCGGCTCATAGATTCCAGAATCGGATCGGTGCATGTCGCGAGGATGTCATCTAATCGGTCATCTCCCAGACCAATGCGTTCTGACCCGTGGACGATAATCTGTATCGACGCACCGCTCCTTAACTGAAACAATGCTTCAAAGCCCTGAACCACCTGTCCCCATGTTGGTCGTAAATCCGCTGAATTTGCACCATTCCAGTTTCGGTTTTCCTGCTTCCGATCCACGGTAATGCTACTTGCATGTATCGTAACGGAGATTTTCGTGATCAATCTATAGCGTGGAAGGTATAGACAAGGTGCTTCCTCGTTGAGGAAAACACGCAAAGAATAATCTCTCCAGTCTTCCCTCCAATATTGCGTCCCATGCATCACAAAGTTACTATTTCTGTACCAGACAGTCATCATCCTCGCCAGCATAAGTCTTCCGACGTATTCGACTTTCCAGTGATGTTCTAGCGATCGACCTCTCGTGTTTGCGTATACTGGCTCGCAAATGCGGTTCACTTTCACGATTGCGTCATTGTGGTCGATGACATTCTCGATGATCACATCACACAACTCGGGTGGTAGAGAGCGAAGAATTTCTTGACATATGTATCGACACGACGCTTGTCCGTACAAATCGAAGATTTTCAATCTTTTTGTGAGTCGAGTGATGGCTTCCGGGTCCTGATCGGGAAAGCGCATATGAGTACGTCGTCGTGCACTAGTGAGTGGTTCAGTAGAAGCTAGCATCAACATGGCTCGCCAAAACATACGCGACAGCTTGTTGATATAGCTTCAGGACCTCTTTGGCAGTGGTATCTTGAGACATCTCGTTATCGGTGCAAAGAGCGTAACGGATGATACGACAACAATGGAAAGACAAATGTGATGTGAGGGTCTCTTGATCTAGGCAGCAGCACAGGGATCTCGGTAGCGTCTTGGCACGGTAACACGCGAAAAGGGTGTGCCATCGATGTGCTACTAATGTAACATTAAGGGAGTGCCTGATACACGCTTCCTAATCACAATCAGCCATGTGTCTTTCTCTCGCGGTCGAAACCAAAAACATACCGCCATATCAAACAGGAACCGTCTTCGTTAGCAAAGTACCTAGTGCTCTTCCTCAAGGGGTAAATTTCCCGAGCATAAGTCAAATAGTGAGCTTTCATCCGGCCGTCTCGAGAAAATTTGGATACCCATAGCAAGGCGGTATCCCTCAGCACTCAGACGCGAAAGAACATCGGACATCACGGTGGTGACCTGTCGCAGAACTTTCCTCTCGCGACGCGGGGATCGGGCGTCTATCATCATCATACGGCGAGTCCACCTACAGCCTATGATCACATAAAGATGAATCGAGGCACCGCGCTTCAACAGGAAAAGGTGTTCTAGTCGTTCCAATATACGTGCGCGAGACGTAGGAACCCTTGTAACGTCTCCCCCCAATGGTTTTTCGAGAAAAACTACGTCCCTCTGATTGAAAGTAATACTGATCTTCGTGATGAGGTGGTGACGGGGTATGCCTAGACGAGCTACATTCAAAGATAAGAAGCGTTCGATATATCCGAGATCCTCGCCCATGTGAATCCGGACCGAGCGATACCAAGCTTCGAACAGCTCTTTCCAAGCCGTGTCGGCAACCTTCTCTACTTGCCAGTAATCGAGGCCCGCTTGAGAAGACGCTGGCTCGTTCGTCGATACAGCAACATCCTTGTATAACGTATCGCACAAGATGTACTCGTAGATGATATCCCTCAATTCCCTTGGAAGTGTAGTGATCATCCCTTCGCACAAGTCGCGACATGTGGTATCCCGGTTGTTGTCAAGGCTATTCGTCGTGGCATATTGGCCCATTTTCGTGTGGCGATCGCCGACCAGCAGCGAGACGGCTTAGATGAAGCGCACAGTATCCGAAGAGCGAAGAGGGGCAGGGGTAGCAGAGTTCAGCAGAGCTCGACCATGCGAAGGTTGATTCAATGGCGATGGTGACGGCGATGGAAGTCAGGGGCGGAGGGCTACAAGTGGAGCGAAAAGCGGGGGTAAATACGTAGCCCCCGCATTAGCGCAAGTGCACCTGCACCTATGCAAAAGGCTCAAACAAGTCAATACTCTTCCATGAACGATACGTCGTATACACTGACGTTCCAATCAATTTGCCTATAGAACACACACACGACCGTACGCTAAAAGGCAACACTTTACGCCAGCCCTCGCACGCTGATGCCCTCGATCACAAGCCGCAGCATAGGATTGCTTTCGCCAGTGATCTCTTCCAACTGCCCAATTTCGGCGATAATCTCAGCTTCCATTTGACGCAGCAATTTTAGTACAGCCTCGAACGTTCCCTCCGACTCGAGGAGATCCAACACATGTTGCTTAACCTCTCTCGCCATCGGCGTGGTATCTCGTCCTGTACCACCACTCGGTCGCTGCCGGAATATGCTGATGACGTGAGCTCGTAGCATTTCCGGTGCATGTTGCAGGAAATGTACAACTGGATAAGAGAACTTGCCCTCATCCAAGTCTTCACAGAACCCTTTCTGCTCGGCGTATGTGTCTGACTTCAGGTTAACGTAATCGTCACGCACTTGGAAAAACCGGCCCAGCAGCGCCATCAGCCGGATCAGCCTTTCCATATCGCATTTGGGCTCCTGTGCGCTTTCGCCGACAATAAGCTGCAACAGCATACGGAATAACCCGCCAGTCTTGCTATCCACCATCTTCATGTACTCCTCCTCTTTCGGACTGAGTAGATTGTGCTTCCAGAACAAATCCCAACTCTGTCCAAGATGCAATCGCTCCAGCTCATACAGCACGATATCCACCGCCTGTGGGTTCGAAAGCTTGCGTGCATGCTGAACGGCTTTGACAAACATGAAGTTTGCACTGTTGATTGATTGGGAATGCCCAAAAACGAGGTGTGTGGCCGCCCTACCCCTACGAAGGGGCGAATCATCTTCGATGTCGTCGAGGATTAGCGACGCGTTGTGCAGTAAGCGGATTAGCTCCTCTACAGCCTTGACAGACTTCTTTGGAGCTTGTATCCACACGTTCAAAGCATCGATGAGCATCGATCTGACTCCTTTCGAAGGTAAGGATCTGATGTAATGGCATGGAGATTGGACCGCCATGTCATCAGGCATTTCCCAACCGAGTTCTGTATGGACCTTCTTGCTTGGACCATCCTGACAAGATTCATCTTCGATGTTCCTCTTCTGCCCTCGTTTGCCATTCTCCACGTTCGTCGCTGCCTGTGCATCCCTGGCTTCAGGACTCTCGCATACGAGCGTAGCCAATGAGGTATTACTAGAGCAGGCATCACTCAAAGCACTCGTCTCGCTGGAAGCGCCTGGGGAAGAGCTGTCGCTGGAAACGTTTGGAGGAAAATTCTCCTGTGCAAACGATTCACGGAACCGAACATGGTGACGAGGTGCGCTTGTTGCCCAGTAATGACTTCCAGACACGACACATCCGGCGGCTTCGATCCAACGCCTCACCTCTATCGAGATATCGGGATGTTCTTTGTAGAAAGCGGTCTTCCTCTTGACGTAAGTTTGCTCAGTCTCGATGATCATTTGCTTCACGATATCTCGAGCTGCGTAAATAGGTATCGACCGTGTTCGCCGTACGACGTCAACAACGTTGACAAGCCGGTTGCCATTTGTTTTCCAATCCTCGTATTCGCGATCCCAGCTCCAGTAATCATTGGTAAGCATGAGTGCTTCTTCAATGGGCTCCATCACATCCCTGATAAGTTCATGTTGCTTTGGGGTTAATCGATAGCCCATTCCGTATTCGACCATGGGCCAGAATGCTCTAGTTCCAGTCAGCCACGAAGCCTCCCGTGAAGGAAGTGAAGACGTTTACCTCATTCCAAAATTACACTTTCGATAAGCGTAGTAAGCTTCCAAGTCGTCGAATTCCTTGTCGTCGTTCTTCTCAACGATGGCCAACCATTCTTTCTGGTACATCTCTAACATGTGCATTCCCATCTCTCGGTCGATTTGAACCGCTTCTAGAAGGATTTGAGCGCCAAGCTTCTTGAGCTTGTCGGCTCTTGAGCCTTGAGCAACCTCCTCCGTCGCTTCAACGTCCAGGGATCGCTCGAAGTCATGGTGTTCGGCTATGGCATCTTCTAAGCCCATCCCTTCAGTGGCATCTGAAGAATAAGCAACATCAGCGTTACTCCTCTCGAAACAGGATTATAAGTGGAGCACATACCATCATGGATCAGTCCAAGGTCGAGT